AATCAGAATCGTTGATTTTCACTTTTAAGATTAAACGAATCTCGTGCTTTGGGTTAGTGAATTGGGGACTGGGATTCACCCATTAGGGGTTAGGGTATAGTATCATGTCCCAAACTCCGATTAATTTTTTGTCTAAATAGCAAAACTCAATGGGGCGTACGGTAGGCTAGCGTACGCCCGGGCGTACGCTAACCTAGGTCACATTTCAATTTATTTTATGGTAGAAAGAGTGAATTTATAGAAACTTCGAGTTTTACCATGAGTTAGGCCAATCCGGACATTATACATAGGAAAATTAGTCATTTTTTCCATATATTATTATTGTGTCGTGTGTTTTTTTATGACGACCTACGTCTTATACTTATTGTGATTTGCTTGGGATTAACTTGATGCTTATTCGTGCACTTTGTAAGACATAAAAAGGACAGGTGATATCAGGGGACAAGTCGAGACCAAGGTCAAGCCGTGCTCAAAAGACTCAATTGTGACTCAATCAAGGGAGTTTTACGGACTAAGGCCTTCCTTTCACGGCCGTGACATTCTTTCTTTGGTCTTGAAACCTTTCAAAAGACCAGTCAAGACGCACTTCAAGAGCCTTCAAAGCGAAGTCCGAGATCAAGTCGATCGTGGCTTACCTGTAGTTGTGCGTTTTAATAACAGTTACGGCTTGACAAAAAAAAAATCAATATAAAAACCCCATTTTCTCCTATCATCGAAGGGAAGTCGCCCGATAGTGAGAAGTTGGGGTTTGAGCAATTTTTAGTGGAAGAAAATTTCTTGGGAGTGCTAAGGAAGGAAGATCCACTCAAGAACCAACGAGAGGAAAGATGATTTCAACCTTTGGGTTGGGTTGTCTTCTCTTTATAGTTTGCGTACCATTTGCTCTCTATGAATTAAACTCCGTTAGTCATTTAGAGGGGATGAACTCTAGATTGTTATATGCAGATTGAATATTTGGTGAATGTGAACCTAGATTGTTATCTCTATCTATATGTGAGCAATTGTTGATTATATAACCTATTCTTTGCTTGATTGACCCTTTGGCATTGTGGGCCATAACCTAAAGTAGGAGAAGAATATTCACTTAGGTTAGGATGAACACAATCAATTGTTAAGTAATTTACAACTACATTACCGTTATGTTGTGAAATATACTTTTTGAACATGTGACGACCTACCTAAGTCAAATTCCTGGATTCACCCACTGACTATAGGCCAAAAGGATTGTGAAACCGTATAAGAGGTGGTACCGGAAAAGTCAGTAACATAGTATTTTATACTAAAACTGTGAATTAACCGCATTTCATACCACTGAAAACGGCCCTATTAATTTTAGACTCCAATATAATAATTTTTTCAATCAGTCCGCTGATACGATATGGCCGCTAACACAATTATCACAACCTATAAGCGAAGAGTCGAAGAGAAAATCTACCAAATAATATTCCAACATACAAAAATCCCTCTATAATATATAGTCGTTCTTCAGGAGATTTTGAGCATTTCAAATTCCTTGCACTCTCCTTAATTGTAGCTAGGGGTAAATTTGTAAGTTCAACTTAGAACTTAAATATCTTCTTACGAGAAAAAATCTCATTACCAAGACTTGAACTCGAGTCCTTCAAATTGACAGTCAATATCCCTAACCAACTGGACTACAAGAATGTTTATGTATTTTTTGAATTAAAGAGACAAAATACTGAAATATCTCAAATTCATCGGACTATCCACCGCAACAATCAATCATCGAATTAATTAATAACTGTAATTATTTACAAAAGTGAATCATCATGATATACCTAGCTTTATGAATCAACTAAGTGAGTTCCTCTAATCACACAATTCTTCACCAAGAATCAAATAGTACATTTTGAGTTTATGTATGTCTTAAAACTTTTACATTTATTAGGTTACATGACTTTGCAGTTTGTAGGAATACAAGGATTGTTTACAAAAGTGCTATACAAAATTTTATTTCAAAACATAAAATTTGACATTTGTGATCTATGGTTTTGTAACGAGACATTTTCAATGCTATAAGTGAATGACCAAAAATCATTTGCTAACAATTTCCCTAATGGTTGAGAATTATGAGCATATAATTGAAAGACTAAAAAATACCATTGGCTAAATTTAACAAACAATGGTATGTGTATATACATTGGAAATTATATGGTACGCTCGATGGATTGAGGGTTATTGCATCTCCTTAGTTAAATAACATTATCTGGACCATAGATTAATCACGTAACTAAACCCTATATCATAATTCTCTAAATCCTAATATAGTGCATACGGTATGTTGTATACATCTTGGCGAATCAGAACCATTGATTATGTTCCTAGTATATGTGATATTAGGGTTTAAGTTCTATAGGTTTAGGGTATATGATTTAATTATTTGACACTTAATCTCCTTTTTCAAATTTCCTGCAATGAGAACGAAATTAGGAAGGACATTTTTGTCTTCACAATTATCTGTATTTTATTTATTTATTTACAGAAAAAGATAGACATATTGAGATTTGAACCATGGTCACTTCAAACAAAGTAAAGGTTTAAAATCAATCAGACTATGTAGATTTGTTGTATTTTTTTAAATTAAAAATATATACGAAGCTAAAATATGAAATCACAAAACTTGTCAACAGTTAGCTAGCCCAATAAATATTCCGTAAGTACTTATTTGATGTTTTGATACTTCAATTTTGATATTTTTATTTAATTATAGTTTAATACTTAATTTAAAATTTTATCTATATTATAAATAGACAATAACCATAAATTTGCAACCAAAATATTGTTGGTTCGAATATTTCATATCGAATTATAGTATTGAATATGTAGAAGCGATATAGAATTCTTAAATTATCATTAATTTTCAGAACTATAGTGAAGCAATCATATCTTTATGCAAACTATAGGGGACTGGTTCTCTAAACATTTTTGTCCGGATAAATACTAAGTTTTGAAACTCTTCCTAGGGGTATGCGTGGGTCGGTTCATTTGGGTTTAGATATTTTAATCACCTAACTCATATCCCACGATTTTGAAAACACTAAATACAAACTCACCAAATAATTTAGAATTTTAACGGTTTGTGTCCTCCATACCAAATGACTAATTTACATGTCGCTTAACTAAGGACGATCTCATTGTCCAATCCCATCATTCTAATGTCAATCCATAAAAGTAACCCATATTCGCGTTTGTTAACACATGTTTCACATTGTCATTACTGTGACCGGTAACTTCGTTGCAACTGATTCGGTATTGCTCATCATATGGCCTCCAAACTGATAAACATATGGGGCCAGCAGTTTTATGACAAAACTCAAAATGAAGACAACTCATCGTCTGGTGAAATTTTGGCGTTTGCTGGTGTCCATTAATCTAATTGCAAGCATAATGATTGCTAAAATTAAGCTTTCACGCAACACACTGGGAGTTGGGGGTGCGTACTTGGAGTAAAAGTTGATATTGGGTTTGGGAAGGGATTAAGGGAAGTGAGGGGAAGAAATTGTGTTTGGATTTGGTAGCAGGTAAAGTTCATGGTTCAGTTTCTTTTCGTAAAATGCTTTGATTTATTTTAGTTAGAGGTATAATATCATGGTTATGTGGGATCAAATGAACCAAAAATGAGCTTGGGGGATGGGAATTCCAACTTAGAAGGAGTGGATTAGATTTTGATAAACTCAAGTTCATGATTAACTGAAAGAATACTTAGATTTAGACTTTGTGGTATTGAGATGTTCATAGAGAGTCTAAACTGATCCAAGGCCATGGATTGATATTGGTTAGTTGATTGTGATTTTGAGGAAGGTGTATAAAAGTCATGGAAGTAGTTTGCAGCAAGTGAAGGCAGTGAAGAGGCAGTTGGTCAAGGTAGTGATTGAACCAAAGAGGGTATTGAAAGACATAGAAGCAAAATTGGAGCAGTTGAACAGAGAGAAGTGGTAGATGATCAGGATATTAGTGAAAATGGAGAGGGTATTGAAGTGCATGAAAGTGAACTGGATCAGGTGAAGTCAGAGAAGGAGGAGAAGAGCATATTGATGGAATTGAAGATAAGTGTTGGTTTTACGAGCTTATTAAAACTGCCCCGAGGAAGATGAGTTGGCCAAATACAAGAAAGAGGATTGAGGAGTTGGAGATCAAACTGACAAGAAACTCAATTGAAAGAGAAATTCAGGTTCATGGAGAGAAGGTCCATCAAAGTAGCATAAATGGAGTTGCAGAAGGAGGATTAAAAATTGAATTTTGGTTTAAAATATATACGCCGAGAGATTGATGATGGAGGGGATAAAAAGTTGGTTGTACAACGGAGAGTAGAAACTATTGGATCTTTAGGTGTTATGGTTGTTGCAACTACCACCACCTATGTTTATGTTAAAACGAGGAATCATTGATTGATTTACTAAAGTTAAGGTCGAGCACTATTCGAACTATTGGAACCTGTAGATAAGGAGTGTATAAATTTGTGCCTCATTACTTTGATCGAGTCTATTAGTATATTGGATGTAACTCTAATTTTGTCATTTGCTTTCAAGTTTTGATGGTTTCCTTTTAGTTGAGTTGTTAGCATATGATTTACTTGAATCAACAACTCTTCGTTTTTTTTTTTAAATCCATTTCCTTTTTATTAGTGGAATGTTATTCGTAGAGGAGAGCTTTGAACAATTTATGTGGGATTGTGAGGTTTCATTTCAGTTTCAAACTATCTATGGATCGTGTGGGAATTCCAATGAGCTTTTATATTATATATTTCTGGACAATCTATTAACCAATATCATTTTAATGGGAGCTCAATTATCATTATGAAAATGAGATTAATGATACATTTTTTATATTCTTAAATGAGGAGGGTATTTTCCTGAATATTCGACCTAAATATTCATTCTTTATGTAGAATCTCGATTGAATGATTTTCAATAAGTTTAAACAAATCAATAGACTTAAACATAACATAAAAAATTTAAATATTAAAATATAAACATTCCGGCCAACTGACCGGATTATAAGCTAGTAACAAGAAGGAAAATGCAATGGCTGGCATATACTCATTATCTTATCCCCAATGGCCATTACCTTACACCTCCCCAACAACATCACTCCTGCACGATACTCATCACTACCTAGCCAGTTTACTACCAACCAACCTCACGTCGATTTCCATTTCCAAAACCCAAAAACACACAAACAAATTCCTTCCAGGCTAACAGCCATAGCCAGCGCCCACCGAAACCACCAAACAAACAGCAGGAAAAAAAAGTGCAACGTTAAAATACAGGGCCGAGAGTGACTGATAGCGAAGCAAGCCGACAAATTCCCTTCCCTCCTCTCCTTATAGATGTTCCCGAAGCTCCCTCCTCCAGCTCTCACCTTGCTAATCCGATCCTCTCGTTCAGTCCCAAGCTACAACTAGAAGCCCAGAAAAACCCACAACATAAAATCAACAATTCTCCTCTCACACGCATTACGTCGAACACCATAGCTGCAATATGGATCCCTGCCCATTCGTCCGCCTAATCATCGAATCACTAGCCCTCAAGCTCCCCTTCGCCACCAAGCCCGCCGGCTCCGGCGTCCACCCCACCGCCACCCCCTGCTTCTGCGTCCTCAAAATCAAGGGCTTCCCCACCCAAACCGCTCTCCTGCCCCTCTGCTCCTCCTCCAATTCTTCATCCCACGACGACTCCTCCGGCCTCGGCCCCGACACCGCCACCTCCGCGCCCGGGTTCCACCTCGACGCCGCCGCCCTCCGCCGCGTCTCGGGAAAGCCGGTTTCCCTCCGGGTCTCGGTCTACACCGGCGGGATGGGCCGGACCTGCGGGGTCAGCGGCGGGAAGCTGCTGGGAAAGCTTCAGGTGAGCGTGGATTTGGGGAAGAATGCCGAGTCCTGTAGGTCGACTGTGTTTCAGAACGGATGGCTGACTCTCCGGTGCCAGCCGGGCAAACCCGCCGCGAGAATTCACTTGGCGTGCCGCGCCGAGCCCGACCCGCGGTTCGTGTTCCAGTTCGGCGGCGAGCCCGAGTGCAGCCCCGTGGTTTTCCAGATCCAGGGCAGCATCCGGCAGCCGGTCTTCAGCTGCAAGTTCAGCGCTGACCGGAATTCCCGCTCCCGGTAAGTTAAAAAAAACATCACCTTTCTCTTCACATTTTTTTCACCGCCGAATTTTACGGAGCGCTTTTTAGCCGGGTTGCAATGGAGGGATGCTAACCTGCGCCGTAATGGTAGAATTACTGCAATCAATTCTTAGTTGATGGGTATAAACGCGACAGTCGACTAATAATTAAATCGTCAATGAAAGAGTCTTTCGTATCACTAAATAAGATATTTCGATCATTTCTCTATGTCCTTCTATGGGATTATTTAGTGGGGTAGTGTTGAATTAAATCAGGGATAAAGGATAATCTTTTATGGTTGGGTTTGTCATTAAGTCATTTAGGAGGGACCCTATGTAGGCTAATTTCTCGCTTGTTATTGGTGTGTTGTGTGATAAAAGTTGTTCAAAAGGGCATGTGGGTTTGTCAAATCTATTTTTTCCTTTGTAGATTAGCTTTGCTAGCTGGAAACCAACACCCACACATGGCCTTGCTGTTCCAAAAATTTGGGCCACAACCCCAAGGCCCACCACCACCACCACCACCACCACCACCACCACCTTATCTATTTCATCATTCATGTCATTGTGTGGTTTCCTTCTTCCTTCATGGTAACGGTAATAAGGTTCATGGTCACGGTACCCCTTGGTTCCTAGTCTCCAATCCAAAATCGACTCCATAGTGCCTTTTTGTACTCTTTGGTGAAATTTCACACAATCAAGACTCAAATCCATCCCCTTCCATCGCATGTATATTCAGATGTGTAAAGCGGCTGCAGTTTATCGTGTCGAGCCTCTCCTCCCTCTAAGGTTTAGTTTCGCCATCGATCCTATGTTGTGGTTCCCTTAGCAGTTGTAGAAACCAAAACCCATTTTAGTTTTCTTGTCACTAGTTAGTAGCTAGTTGTGGTTTCATTGTCATTTGTGGAATCCAAAGCCCTTCTTAGTTTTTTCTTGTTAACTGTCATTAGCGGGTAGCTGGCTAATAGTTCGCGACTTATTTGCAATCCTAGTTTTTTTGTCATTATACTTTATTATTTATCCCGGGGTAGCTAGGAGGATGATTAATACTAGGTCTTTTTATTGTCGTTTTGTGCCATAATAATGTGCTAAAACAACTAAACCGGTTGGTTTGGTCAAACAAAGACCAAAATATATTCCCGAATCACTCAACTGTCGAACACAACAACAACAGGATTCCATTACCATGTGATAAAATCTGCTTCAACTTGACCTTGATGCCTTGGTAACCAACCAAATCTTCTTAAATACGTGATTAATAACCTCTTTGCATCTCATTGACTGTTCAAGATCTTCCATAATCAGCCGCTTAATCAACCCAATTACGATCTCTGACCCTTTGTGAAAATTCTCTTCTTTCCAGATCCCTGCCCTCAGATTACAACAACGCATCTTCCTCCAACGGCGCTTGGACCAAAACATTCTCCACCCGGGAGAGAGAAAAGGCCAGCCGGCGGGAACGAAAGGGATGGATGATAATGATCCACGACCTCTCCGGTTCGCCTGTAGCCGCGGCCTCAATGATCACCCCGTTCGTCCCCTCACCCGGGTCGGACCGGGTCTCCCGATCCAACCCGGGGGCCTGGCTGATCCTCCGACCCCACGGGTTCTCGGTCAGCACGTGGAAGCCGTGGGGCCGGCTCGAGGCGTGGCGGGAGCGCGGCGCCGTGGACGGCCTGGGGTACAAGTTCGAGCTGATGACCGAGACCAACGGTCGGGTCGCGATAGCCGAGGGGACCGTCGGGGTGAAGAAGGGCGGGCGGTTCGAAATTGATGGGAGGACGGTTCGGGGCTCGGTTTCTCGGTTGGCCTCGGTGAAGGGGTTCGTGATGGGTTCAACCGTGGAAGGGGAAGGCAAGGTTAGTAAACCCGTGGTTCAGGTTGGGGTTCAGCACGTGACCTGCACGGCCGATGCGGCTCTGTTTGTGGCGCTATCCGCTGCGGTCGATCTCAGCATGGACGCTTGTAGGTTGTTTTCGAGTAAGCTGAGGAAGGAGCTGTGTCACGATGATCAGGATGGTTTGTGAAGTAATCGCGGTAAATGTTTTTTTTTAATGCGGTGATGACCAATAGGGTGGGAGTGGGAGTAAAAAAGTAATTAACTGTTGGTTTGAGCGAGTGGTTAATTGTTGGTTTAATTTTGATTTTCGGCCTCTTTTCACTGGGTTGATGATTGGGATGAGCTGTAATTGGGCTTAACTGGCAGGAGGGCCCATGGATCTTTTGGTAGATGGAGGGGGGAAAAGAGAAAAGAAGGAAAGGTTAGTTTGTAGCTGGATTTGGTTGACATCAGACCACCAAGTCTCCTTGTTGGTTGGTTTTGGGTAGGGGAATTCTTTTGTTGTTATTTATTAAATCGGTATTTTTGTACAAGTTAATGGTTTAATGTATAGAAAAAATTGAGGAATTATTTTGTTAATAATTATAGCAGTTTTTGACTGGAGGTTTTAGATAAGTACTTTTCAAAAAAAAGCAGTGGATTGTTTGGCTGTAAAACTATTAGAAGTGTTTTTTAATATGAGAGGTTGTGTAAAATGACTATAAAGGACTTATAATATAAAATATGAATAAAAATCTAAACAATAAAAAGTAGTCAAAATGGATCTTGTTAGATTTTTTTTATATTAAATAATATGATTTTATAATTTATTTTATTTTTAAAATGATATAAATAAAGAAAAATTATATTTTCTGAAATAAAATTAAAATATGGTAAGGATAATCTTGTATTTTCAAAACAGTTTTTCGCAGAAAGTCCAAATCGGAGCTTCTGCTTTTATGTTATACAAAAGTGCTTTTCAACTTTTCAAAAGCCGAGCTTTTAGAGGTGTTTTGCCCTGCTTCAGCTTTTGAAGCCGAAAAGTACTTCTAAAAACCGGGCCAAACATAGGGATTACAGGAATCGTACGTTGAAGAGAAAATGAATCTCCTTGATTGATCTCGTGATAAATTTAAGACGAAAGGTAACCGCACGAAATTTATGAGGGTAAAAGTAATAAGAGGTGTAAAAAAGGGAAAAGATCACCAAAACGCTGCGTATTGATTCCCCCTCGCTCCATTCCAGCCATCAACTAAAATTAGTCAAAACAAAAAATAGCCGGATCCCTTGGAGTAATAAAAGCAAGAAAGAACGGGACCACACCAACAGACGGGCGATTTCCTCCGCCGTATCGGCTGCCGCGAATTCTCATCTTTGTCAGATTATCTCACCGGAGACCCGATCGGAAACCAGAGATTCGAATCCGGATTAAAATAAAAACGAAGTACCGAATCCTTCTCTGGTTTCCTTCAATCGCCACAATGGCCGCCATCGTAGTACGGATCTTTCTGATTTCAATCCTCTGCCTGATCGGCCTCGCCTCCGCCGCCCAATCAGTCATACGAATGCCCAGCGACCGAACGGCCGGCGAGACGGACAGTTTCTGCAACAGCTGGAGGCTATCGGTGGAGACGAACAACGCCGGGTTGTGGTCGACGCCGGAGGGATGCCTGGGGTACCGAGTGGATTACTTCACGGGAGTCCAGTACGCTTCGGATTTGACGGTGGTGGCGTCGGATTCGATCGCGTTCGCCAGGAGCGTGACGCCCGCCGGGGACGGGAAGGACGGCTGGGTTTTCGACGTCGACGAGACTCTGCTCTCCAACCTACCGTTCTACGAGAAGTTCGGATACAGGTATCGTTTTCCAGCCGTTGGATTGGATTTTGCATTTTTGGGGAAGTCCCTGAAGTTATTTCATTTCCCCGTGAAGGTCCTCAAACTTTTTAGTTCTTGGATTTTCTTGCTAATAGAAATTTAGGGAAGAGATGGCATTCTTTTAGAAATGGGAACGAGATTAACGTTGATATAATGATATTTGTTCGGTGACAGCGCCGAGTCGTTCAACGAGGAATTGTGGAACGAGTGGGTGAATTCGACGGCGGCAGAAGCACTGCCGGAGAGCCTGGGGTTGTACAGGGAGCTGAAAGAGCTAGGGTTCACAGTGTTCATCCTGACAGGACGTGACGAATTCCAGAGGAATGCAACCACAGCCAACCTCCTGGCCGCAGGTTTCAGGGATTGGGAAAAGCTAATCCTGAGGTGAGTCATCAATCAATCAATCAAATGCGAATTTGAATGTGTACGTGCCCCTGGGATGACGAACAATCAACGATATTCGCGTCGAATGCAGGGGGAAATCCGATCGAGGGAAGCGAGCAGTGGTGTACAAATCGGAGAAGAGGCAAGAGCTGGTGGATCAAGGGTACAGGATTCATGGCAACTCTGGCGATCAATGGAGTGATTTGTTAGGCTACGCCATGGCGGTGAGGTCCTTCAAGTACCCTAATCCATTGTACTACATTGCCTAGTTCCTCTGCTGCTGCATAATGTAGCATAACATCCAACGACGGAATGGCGGCGGCCTGATCTGCAGCCTCTCGTCATTCCTTTTTTTTTTTTTTTTTCTTATGTATTAGGGTTCGTAGCAGGAAATCCTTTACAGAAGTTAGCACAGATTTGACATTTTTTTGGTCTTGACCTTCTGTAGTGGTAAATATTGTAATCTGAGCGGCCTTTTGTGTTCTTCTATCAAAATGTACTGTACATAGTGGTTTTATTACATCATTATAACTTGACTTATTGTGTAAAATTAACAGTTTTTTTAGACGTTTCATCAACTTAGCTTTACTACGCAAGTGGCTGATCGAATCTCCATGGATGCATATTATGCAAGAGGCGAAGGTGTTCTGGTCTTCTCAAGTATATCTGCTCAATAAATTAATTTTTTTTCCATGAACAATATTGTTTCATTTTCTCCATCCATGTGAATCAAGATTGATCTTAGATTAGTTCAAGTCCCCTCCAACTGATGAGCTATGATTGGTTCGTTTCTTACATACGTGACCCTCAATTTGATCGACCAACAACTATATAATGAACCAACATTGGCTCACAAATTTCATGCATGAACAACTATTGGATTGCGCTCCACCCTTCAAATTCCACGAGCAAAAATTAGTTTGATGTTTTAGTATACATATAGAAAGATCCAAGATTGGTTCAATCTATAATGGATGGTTCGGGTCGTTTGGATGGATCAATCTAGAAATGAGTCAATTTGATCAATTGTCTCGTTTTATAAACGAAGCAATTAACACAAGTCAATTCGAATTACCTGCCCCCATCCCAGGTAATTGAAATTGACTCAAAACGGATCAATTCAAAATACCTCAGGCAGATTGATCCATCCAAATTTTTTGCTGGCAAACGAGGCAATTTGGTACAATTGTTTCAAAACGAGACAATTGTGTCAAATTGATCTGTTACAATTCCTCATCCAAACGACCCCTTGCAAACTAAGATTGGTACATCACCTTTTATTTGTCGAAATACATGTATCACCAACATGTTTGTTCGCTTGCAAAGGATTCCCCAGAGCTACAACAAGAAATGTGATTGTTGTCGCAAAATTTGCTTCGTTCAATAATCGCAAACAAGAGGAAAACCAATGAACCCTATTTTTTTTTTAATTCATGAAATGTCCACATAAATACCCTACTCACTAGCTAGTGTCGATTACCCTGGGTGACCTTAGTGAACTCTGAATCACCTTTGGTCACTTCGACCACCCCCGGGGTCTATTCAGGGTCACCACGGGTCACTAAAACCATCACTGGGTTGATCACCTCGGGTCACCTTCAGTCACCATCCCCAAGGTCAATCCCCCCGGGTCACCATGGATCACTCCGGCCACCCTCGAGGTCAATCCCCCTACGTTACCATAGGTCACTCCGCTCATCACCTCGTCGATCACCCCCAGGTCATCTTAGGTGACTCCAGTCACCCCAGGACCAACCACCCCAAGTCACATTGGGCACACTTGGGGTCACCCCGACCAACCTTTGGTTCAATCACCTAGATCACCCATGGACATTTCTGGGGTCACTCCAGCCAACGCAAGGATCAATCACCCAGGTCACTTCGACCACCACCAGGGTCGATCATCCTAGGTCACCTTGGGTCACTCTGGCCAACCCTGAAATCAATTACCTTAATTCACCTTGAACACTCATGGGATCATCCGGCCAACCCCATGGTCAATCACCTTGAGTCACCTTGGTCACCCCTAGGGTCATCTCGTTCAAATATGAGGTCATTAATCTAAGGTCAAGGAGAGATGATAACTCCATGAGATGTGGTGTATGGATCTTTGGAGAGAGAGGGCATCGTCGGTCGAAGACTTCTCTGATTTAAGCTAGAGAGACCAGTGCAGAAGAGAGCTTACAAGGAGAGAGAGAGAGAGAGAGAGAGGAGCGCGAAGGTGGGAGGGGTAGGGGGCTAAATACAAAAGATTGTAGAAGGTTGGGGAGATCATATTAATGAAGCTTCATCTCTTCTGTTGAAACTTTAGCCAAAGCCCCAAATCGCTCTCGTGGGTTCTATCTATAGAGATTGGTTAAGTAGTTTAAGTCGTTCACTTTATCCTCTTCCCCGTTGTTGATATTACTTGAAACTGATTAGCTGTCATCGGCTGGAAGTCACAGGGGTCACATCGGCATGTCTTGAACAAAGCCTTAAATACTCCTAGTGCTTCAAATATTCATCTAACCTAAGTGTATGCACCACAAACCGAATGTGAGAAGAGTACATGTCTCGAGTCTCATAGCGTAGTGAGTAGGTAGTTTGATGTACATTATTGTTTTCACTTGACCCGATCTTGCACATGTTGTTGGTGCAGGTTCATGGTGCAACCTGAGGAGGAACATTGGCAGGATGTGAAGAGGAATTTTCTGGTACCTACAGGGTACATCTGATATGGAGACAAGTTTTGAAAGTGATATAGAGTGCTTAATGATTGGCTATTCAGATTCTGATTATGCTGGAGATGTTGACACAAGGATATCTATGACTGGTTGTGTATTCAACCTTGGAGGTTTTATGGTTAGCTGCAGGCAAGGTTGTCAAACCGGTTTATGCCAGTGTGCCGGTTTAGCAAGTGGAATGGTTCGACCGGTGGCACATACCGGCTTGTGCCGGTTCATGCCGGTCAATATTACAAATAAAATTATAAATACTATATTTAAACATGACATTTAATGTCAATACCTAAACATTTATACTTGAATCCAACAAATAACATCAATATTTAACTTTTATACTCATAAAATAAATAATAAAATAAATTTTATCTATTAAATTCACTAAAATAAGGCCATATAATTTAGAGATTCATATATCGATCATGTCGGTCATACCGGTGGTGTCACGCCGGTTTTATGACCGGTATCAGTTGAACCAGGTTCAACCGGTGGCACGCCGGCCGGCGTGACAAGGCAACTCTGCATTCGACGGTTACTTTGTCTACTACTAAGTCGTAGTATATGATATTGACAGAAGCTGCCAAGGAGGGAATATGGTTGAATGAGCTGGTTAGTGATATGGGTATATGTCATGATTTGACAGTGGTTTATAGTGACAATTTGAGTGCAATATGCTTGGCCAAGGACTAAGCACATGGATGTAAGATATCATTTCTTGATAATAGAGAAGAGGATTAAGATGAAGAAAGTGGGCATGCCAACAATCTTGCTGATATGTTCACGAAATCGGTTTCACGTGGCAAGTTCTAACTTCTGCTTGAACTTGGTGAATGTTCTGAGCTGTTGAGGCCCTCGGGGCATTGAGGCAAGGTAGAGAGGATATGAGTACATCTAAGATTTGGAGTGAGGATTCAAGTTAAGACGGAGATTTGTTGATATGACTTAAATCAGATTATCTGCCATATTGGATTAAGGTTAACCTGTTTGGAGAAGTACTATAAATACTTCTCAATCCCTCCGTAATCTTCTTAAAGCTAATGAAACTGGTTCTCTCATTCTCGTAGGCTAACTAACAAACATTGTGTTAGTGAACCACGTAACTGTATTTATTCTTTACTTTTTTTACATTGTCAACAATTATCCCGATCAATTTTTAGACACTCGTCAGTTTTCAAGCTCAACTATTTCAACCTTTGAAATCGACTTCAACCTATATGGCAAACTCGGGACCAATAGTGATAGCAATGGGGCGGGTACCTCAATACCTATGTCCCGCCCCATGTTACTACCGGTCAGGGCGGGTAAAACCCGCCCGGGTACGGGGCGGGGCGGGGCAACCCACTCTTACATGTTATTCAAAAAAATACACGCAAATTTTACTTTTCACGATAAAGTGAAGGAAAAAACACTTTATAAATGAAAAATAGTGATAATAGAATGGATAATTGAGTCCAACAAGTTGAAAGATCGACTCTAACTAGTTGAAGAAAAATCAAAATATGAGAAATATGTATAGATACGGTAAGAAATTGAGATAGAATGATTAAAAAATAAGGCGAAGCAGGGCAGGTCGGAAGTAGATACCCATGCCCCCCCCCCCACACTAAAACAGGTCGGGTATACTCGCCCGATCGCGGATCATGTCGAGTAATACCCGCGACCGCGGGACCGTTTGAAATTGCCATCACTAGAACCAATGGACCATGTGAGTGTATTACAAAGATGGTTGTTACACCGTAACCATATTGGAATTTGGTTGCTCTTCAAAAGTGATATGGTAGGTAAGAAAAAGTTCAATAAAAGACGAAATGTCGTCTGAAGCCAAGAAAAGAGTGGGGACCTACTACGGTGGTGCAGTGGCTAAACAGGGAGCTACTATGGTTGTTAGGGGGTTAATTGCACGGGATACGACTAAGTATTGATTTTGTTGCACATTAACCATTTAAATTTTTTTTAGTTGTAACTAAACCACATAAATCAACTTCCGGTTGTACCGTTATATTTTCCATCCTTAAACTTAATGGTAAGTATTAAATTGAAATTTTCTGCCTCAATTTGCACTATGTATAATTACCCTATGCCTCCCTATGTTTTTTCCCCTTCAATATTTATAATTGTTACAGTTTTTACTTTCAAGATCTAATTGAATTGAACTTTGGTTTCCTTACAAGCAATTAAATTTTCTAGACGTAGGAAAGAAGTGAAATGTAATCTCGATTCGATTATTCTGGGTTTATGATATGTTTTGCGTTGTTGGTGCTTTATACAAACTCAAGCGAAGTAAATAGAAGTTACATAAAAGAAAGAAAGAAATTGTTTTCCTTTACAATTATCATATTAATCATGTAGTGATAGTTCTAACAATTTTCAAATTTGCGTCTCAATTAAATTAATATTTTGTTGTTGGTTTATTTTTAAAAAGTTCATTTTTACATAGCCTTCAACTCTCATTTGGCTGCAGATGTTGTATCAGTACTAGCTAGCAGTCTGACCAAATTGAATTGTAGAAGAAAAAAGTACAGACAAGCATGTGACATGGAAAAAAAATCCTATAGTTACCATGGTTAAATCGATAGAAAGCATGTCAGATGACCATGTCAGATATCATAATTAGAATTGATTATATCTCACTTTCTAAGTCTAAAAAAACTATATTTACCATGATTAAATTGATTGTACAAAGGCACCAACAACGCAAAACATATCATAACCCCAAAAAAGTCGAATCGAGATTGCATTTCACTTCCTAAGTTTAGAAAATTTAATTGCTTGTAAGGAAGCCAAAGTTCAAATTTGAGGCATAGTGCAAAACATATCACAAAAACAGAGGGAGACATATTGCAAATTGAGGCGGAAATTTTCAATTTAATACCTACCATTAAGTTGCACACAAATTTGTTTATCCATGATAGTTTAAAAACGGTAACAATTATAAATATTGAATGGAGAAAAATAGAGGGAGGCATAGGGTAATTATACATAGTGCAAATTGAGGCGGAAAATTCCAATTTAATACCTACCCTTAAGTTTAAGGATGGAAAATATAATGGTGCAATCGGAAGTTGATTATGTGGTTTAGTTGCAACTACAAAAATTTAAGTGGTTAGTGTGCAACAAAGTCAATATTTAGGTGGTATCCAGTGCAATTAACCCGTTGTTAGGTATGGCTCAGGCTATTTGTAAACCTAGAGGTATCCTTCCTTCTTATCGCCCATAGTTCAGTTCCCTCTTCCTCTTTCAATGTTTTCCTTCTTTCACCATAAAGCCCATTTTATCACAACTTTGCACCATTAAATGCCACCGTAAGTACATACGAACAGCTATATATGAATCACAAAATAGTGTAAACACATGCTCAACTACAATAACGAAAACATTGATATCGCAACCAAATCTCACCGGCGTGGAAGTGATAACTAAGAAACTGTCGTAAGAAAGTGGAACCAACTACTGTCAATAACTCGAGTTATTGGGAGGTTTATGTATGACACTTGACCACCATCTTATATGTCCAGTCAAATGAAATCCAACCTTTGGAGCTTGAAGTTTGCGCATGTATGCCATACCATGTGCTTTAAAAGCAACGGTTAATATTGGGGGTCGTAAGAACTTGAACAAGTGACATTAAAGACAAACTAGCTTTGAAATGATATCATAAACCAACTGATGTTGTTGGGAGATGTCCATATATGGTATTCAACCACTTCGTTACACATCCTGCCTCAAATGAAGCCAAATCATGGGTTTTGCACATGCCAGACCATGTGCTTCAATGACAACAGTTGATATTGGAATTGTGAGCACTTGATGACGTGACCTCAAAACTAACCAACTCTAATACCGTGTCATTCACCGGTCAGTTTGGAAGAGCTACATATATGATATTTAACCACTTCCTTAAAATGCAATTAGATTGTTGTATCATAAACTATTGAATCTTGATCACAAACCCCTATGGATAGATCACTTGACTAGAAATTGTTGGTTGGTTAAACTAGTGAAGGGTGACTTTGTGTGCACGATTAAGACTGAGTGACGACCTTCATCAATTTCAATTTCAATTTCGCAATGTATGTAATCAATAAATGGATTAATCAATCACAAACCCTATAGGCAAATTACCTTTCGAGGGTGATCCGTTTAATTTAATGTTGATCCAAACCCCTGTAGAAATATGAAATGACTAGATTAGTTTTTTATATGTAGACGAGTTGAGTGTTGTACGAATTGTTCGAATGTCAAGCTAATAATGAGCGTTTTTGGCTCATTGTATGTGGCTGCTATAAAGACAGAAAGAAGAAGCGAAGCAAATTCCAGATCCATTCAATCATTCGTCCACTGATAGAAAGAAAAAGAAGAAGAAATCGTTTCATCCCTCACGCCCGCCGTTTCAAAATCTCAATGTCGATCCAGCACTCGCCGATCCCGGCGACATTGATTCTCCTCCTCCTACTCGTACTGGGCCCTGCCTCCGCCTTCCGGCCACTAATCCGAATCCCTAGCGACCGCCGTCACGGCGACGACCAGCTCTACTGCAACAGCTGGAGGCTGTCAGTGGAAGCCAACAACTCCGTCGCGTGGACCGAACCGCCGAAGCGGTGCGCCGACTACGTCGTGAAGTACTTCGAGGGGGAGCAGTACAGCTCGGACCTGGAGGTGTACGCTTCCGAGGCGGCGGCGTACGCCCGCACCGTGCCGGTCGCCGGAGACGGGAAGGACGCTTGGGTGTTCGACGTCGACGAGACCCTGCTCTCCAATCTGCCTTACTACGGCATCCACGGTCTCAGGTACAATTTGATTAGTTAGTTGGTTCAACACTCAATGTAGCTCCATACTTTCACATACCCATGTTTGATTGTTGAATTGGAAAAAATTCATGGTTTAATGGTTGATTATTATTATTATTAAAACGGATAATAAAACATATATAACATACTAGTTTAGTTTAGGACTCAATAACTCCAAATTCATATAATCCAACACCAAAACTCGTCTGATGGACCATTCAAACTGTCTCACAAAAGAAATTTTATAAAAAATTTATCGAAATTCAAATTAGCAATTAGGAGGGTAGTAGAGAGGTAGAAAATGAAGAGTAAGTACAATTAGTAACCTTAACGAGTGAACAAATCAAATTGAGATGGTTCATTTGGTTGACTGATTCGATATCCAACCATAAAAAACTGTTTGGTTCACTTCTTAGTTCTTACCATCCACTCGCATAAATTGAACCGCCGCTATTGTAATTAGCTTGACGATTCTACTTGATATAACCGTCCACCCAGTCCGGTTCTTGTAACAAATCAAATATATATTTATATCCACACTCATGGGTTGTGGTTTTTGTTGAACGTTTCTTTTTGTGTGGCTGGTCGCCGGAACTAGTGCGAAACGGTCGGTCCATGAACAGTCTTGGAACGATTGGGTGGACCAAGCCGCATGCCCAGTCTTACCGGCGAGCTTGGAACTATACAAGGAGCTGAAAAGCCTGGGATTCACAATCTTCATTCTCACCGGCCGGCTCGAAGCACAGAGGAATGCTTCTGCCGTGAATCTCCTCGCTCAAGGTTACAGTGGCTGGGAGAAGTTCTTCTTGAGGTAATCAATTTCGCCTTCATTTCCAAGACCCATTTTCCTTAAACTTTTATGACAATTTAACGATGCCAATGTGTCTGGTGGATGCAGGGAGGTGGAAGATGAAGAGAAGCCGGCGAGCCAGTACAAATCGGACAAGAGGCAGGGGCTGGTGGACGGAGGTTACAGGATCCATGGGAGCTGTGGAGATCAATGGAGTGACTTGCAAGGCTATGCTGTGGCTGCTAGGTCTTTCAAAATCTCCAACCCTCTCTACTTCATCCCTTGATTCTTAGTTCCATCCACAACATGCTAGGATGGATTTCAGTTAACTTGATTGATTGTCTTTCGGATCATGTCGTCGCGAGTTTGATTGTCATCTCTAATTACATCCCCTAGTCCTAGGATTTCAGTTAACGAGTCAGACCTGTATTCCTTTCTTCTGAATAAGTTATCTATTGTTGTAAGGTTCCTGCTATGCAAGACTATGAACTGGGTTTGTAACCGAAAACAAAATGAAATATTATGCTAAAAGTGGCTTGGTTGGATTAAAAACAACAGAATTCCAAGTTGCAGGTTAACCATGCTACAGGTTACCGAATCAAAACAAAAGCAGAAGCAGAGAATATTGCAGCCTACATCACTTACCAAATATCCCCAAATCCGCTACAGGGCAAACTCGGTGGCCGTTTTAAAAGACACAGAACGAACGAGCGAGCGAAGAGAATAACTCTCCACCCAGACTGAAGAATCACGGGCTAAGGGACCTATCTGCAGGGCTCCTGCTCCTCCTAGGTGGCGGTGGACTGCGGCTTCTGCTGGGACTCCTGCTCCTCCCAACCCCATTTCCCTCCTCGCTTGGAGCCCTCCTCGGAGGTGGTGTCTGGCTGCGGCTCCTCGATCGAGGTGAGTACGACCTCTCTTTGCTATACCTCCTCTCTTGAGGTGATACCGATCTGCTCAAAGAATCATAAACCAAGTCACACCATATGAGACAGACACTAACAAATGAACAAGTCTGGAAGTACCAAAGCATCATTTACCTAGAGTATCGCCTTTGTTGTTTTGGAGGTGGAGAATAATAACCACCACTGTGTGACCTTGATCTCGCACGCCCGCGTGGAGGAGGCGAATAGCGAGGGGAGCGGGAATAACGAGGTGGGGACCACCTCCTGTCACGCATTCGACCTCCTCCTCCTCTACTGCAAAGTTAACCACCATTCCACTGAAGTTAGACAGCAGAAGTCTACATACTATCTCCAAATTAATACAGAGGATGCAGATTTGTACTTGATCAATTATCCTCTTATTCCAAAGTATACTACTCTAGCAAGATGAGTATAGGACAATTAGTTATAATACTTGACTTTTAAGTGCGACAACAAGTTAACTAAATGGATCAAAGAAACAATGATTTTGGTCCAGTATATGAAAGAGATCACACAGTTGAAATATCAGCACAACAGGATACAGAACCGAACACCACTGGAAATCAAGCACTTGGCCATGTTAATTGAAATCTCGATAAAACATCTTCTCACTCGCATATAGTTTGATTAGAGAACATTCAATCTAAAGAATGAAAGGCAGTGAACAAGTGAATCCTACCTCCCTCGCTCCCTTGTCCTCATTTCAATAGGCTTCTTCCTGTTCTCCTCCGCAAACACAACAGTTAACTCGCGACCATGAAGAACTCGACCATCCATTTGATGCTTGGCCTCAGTAGCATCATGAGGATCCACATATTGGACAAACCCAAAACCACGAGGTTCACTTCAAAATAAAAAGTGCAGAAACAAAAAGGAATATGAGGATCTAATTCATAGGTCGTGAATGAATAGCTCAAAGTTCACCATCCTTTGCCAACAAAGTGTACTAACACAATTCGTAGTATATACAAAGGTCATTCGCAATAAACATTAACATCAGAAAGCAAGCACCTGGTTTGCTGACCTTCAAGTGTTAGTAAGAAGATGTCTCGAGACTCTTCAAGACTTGAAACATCTTCATAACGTATTCAAACCCACACTTCCTTCAATCTTCACTACCATTACCACCACCTTCCAGAAAACTCTAATTACTTGGTTGATGTCTTCGAAACATTATATTTCACTATAACATCTCAAGAACTTTAATTAACGGCCACCCAACTTTAATTGCAAGAGATGACATCATGAAGAAAACCCCATAGTAAACAAATCTTTGATCCAAACACAAATTCTAAGCCAACTAAAATACAATAAAAACTTAAGATTCACTTAATTAGCGCTTTTATGGAACTATTGTGCTTAGTGACATGCACTTACCAAAATCTTACACTACTAAAATTAAACTGTCAGAAACTACACTTTTAAATTGCAATTTCTATGGAATTCAACCATTCTTTCATGGAACTATGGTTCTTAATGACATGCACTTACCAAAATCTTATAGTAGTAAAATTAAACTGTCAGAAACTGAACTTCTAAAATTTGCAGTTCCTAAGGAATTCAACCATTCTTTTGTATTCCCAGAGATTCAAGCTCTGAAACTGCTCCACGTTCCCTATTTTTTTCAAGTGGTCTACAAAGAAAATGATACCAGCTAAACGTGCATAAGAGGGAAAGAAAAGAAAATAACCAAGGAACACTTAAACACCAGCAATCATTACAAAACCACAACCAAGAGGTGCCATAGACAAAAAGAAAACAGTCTATAATCAGAAACACATCCTCACCCAGTATAATAATCTTTGGGCAGATAAATATCCTTCAAAGGACCAAACTGTTCAAAGGGCCTACGAAGATCTTCTGGTCTGCAAAATAAAGGAGTTGCATACCCTAAGTTCCTCATGTGTGAAATTGCAGAAAAGCTTTTTAAGTTCAGAACACTACAATTAAGTATGATGCTGACACTATCTGTCTCATCCAAATCAGTTCGGTATGTGAAAAAGGAGAATTAACAACCAATTAACTGTGGAGAGAAAGCAATTAGGTTACAGGAAACAGAATGCCAATCTTACAGGACAACACCAGACAAGACCAAACACACACACACACACACAAAAGAACATCTCCAGCCAGTATTTATGAATACGAATGGGGACTTTCCACCAACCTGCAATCGTGACGAAGGTTCCGAACTAGAAGACTAGTAGGCTGATCTCTCCCACTTCCGCGACTACCATATCGTCCCCTAGGACTTGGACTCCTCCTCCTCCTACTGTGGCTCCTTGGGGGTGATGGACTGTAACTCCTTCCTCTCATTTCACAAAGCTTTTCCCTGGATAATTTCCCACAAACACCCCGGTTAGCAAAATAAAACCTACTAAATCAACACCTCACAGACATTCATGGTGAAACTGTATCTATCAAATCAGAAACCAAAAGCATTTATCTTCTCATGCTCCCCACTCAACAACCACAGCACAAAATAAAAGCCAGTGAGTCACAATTCCCCAACCTATCTAAGAACGGAAAACACTAGATATCTCAGGATAAGCAAGTGAAAATCCAGTTCCACTCTGATTAGTAGAAGAACAACTTCTTTACCACAAGAAGATATTTCTCCATTAGTTAAGACCAGACGAATCAAACAAACATCAAACGTTTTAGGGGAAGATAAAGCAGGCAGTCAGTCAATCCCCAGAAAGGTCACATCACAGGGGAAGAAAAAGAAGCCACCTTTTGAGCAGTTTCACTCAAGCAACCTGCAACAACCAACAGATTCACAAACATGTCTATCGATGGCATACCAAATTCCAACACTAAGAGCTAACTAGCGTAAATTTCAATTTCAACCACCACTTAATTCTAAACCATTCCCTTCCACTACTCAAACAGTCTCCCGAGGAGGGTAAACCCTAAAACTTCGCCTGCGTGAAGGCAGTGCCGAATCACAAAGAAACCCAATGTAGAATCGAAATAAGAAAGGGTAAGAAAATCACCGACGGCGTCAAGAAATTCAAAGCAGAAACCTTGCGCTCTCCTCGATCTTCACTCGTTCTGATTTCTCTTCTCGTCGGACCCGCAGCGTGCCACGACTCTCTTCCCAATCTCGCTTACTCTGTTAGATACTATCTCTTCCTTCTTTCGCCCTCGCCGAGCTTCCTTCCGTCGGCAAAATCAGTAGCGAATCTCCATACACGTTACGCTTTTACTCTCTCCCGTCGTGCCCTTGCTGACTTTCTCTCTCCCTCCCTCGCGGCCCAGGAAAGCCTCACCACCACATTTACCTTTTCCGCCGCTCTCTAATAAACTAGCTTATTACCCGGCCCGTTGGCCGGATTACTGTATGTTACCCACTTGTGGAATGGGAGAGAAAGCAAGTGAGAGTGAAGGGATTGGGATTCCACTTGATTAGGACCGACCCACTAATCCAATTCTTCTCGACCCGCCCCAACCTACAGGGTCAGAAAGAGTCAATAAGAAAATACGAACGGGGAGGATTAGTCATATATCTTGACTCTTCAGAAGTGGGTCAAACAGGATCAAGGTTGGGTGAGGGCAATTTTTAGCGCTAAGCAGAGTTCTAGGTTGAATACCTTTACTTAGGCCTAGAAATTGGTGCTGATGCAGACTGCAGTTTTTATTATACCATCATCAATCATCATTGAATTAGTCCTGGGCATCCCTCCCCGTTGTCGGTCTGAATTCTAACGATGGCTTCATTCCTTGCACCAGCCATATCAGCGAGTTGCCATCTCGAGCATGATTTGCCTATGTACAAATAATACAATTAGAGTATGAAAATGAATTCAATGAAAAGGAAAAGAGAATTCTATCACATGCCAATAAATACACACATAATAGTTGAAGCTAAGTGAAAGTCATTACTCGCACATCAATTCTCAAAAATTACAGACTAAACATTGGCTAGAATGGCACTGAAACTACCAAGAATCATGGACGAAACAACTTGTCAAATTAAATAATCCTTATACTGAAACTACCTTCTAACTTGAAATAAGACATGATCACAGTTCATAGCTCTCTTCTCACTATGAATTGGTTGCAGCTCGTCCTTATCACTGCCTCGCAAGCTCAATTCAAACAGAATAGAGACCGTTATGTAAGATAATCATATTCTTACTAATCATAATTCCTTTCTTCACTCCATTTTGTCGGAGAAAAGAGTTATCCCCCTCTCCTGCATTTCCCTTTCCCCCTCTCTTCTCCCTCTTCTTCACAAACCGATCCCTAAACCAGCAACAACAACACAAAAATAGCCTTCTCCTCTCCCGTCTCCATCTATTGAACGCGTTGGTGGCAAGACAGGACTGCAGAAGCAAAATTTTCTAAAATCAAACTAAATTTTTTGAAGCAGACTCAACCACGAAAAAAGAGTAAAGCAACAATGCAGTAGAACCCTAAATTTAACTACAATCAAGCACATATCAGCAAGATTTTCGATTTGTCTGAGAGTTAACTACACGGAGAGAACAATTGATGCATAATTGAAATGCTCCAAGCAAGTTGAAGGCAAACCATAACTTTAGAATTTGGTCATTATAATAACCTTCAAGTATTGATGCTTCTAAGAACTATCATGTCCAACCCCCACTTATACAACTACGTAGCCATAGTAATTAGTTGAATAATGAGAAATATTACAAAGAAAACTACATAAACAACCAATGTAAGTAAATATTAAAACTAACAACTGATAAAACTTAAAATCTCTCTATTGGTATAAATGTATCTATTAGTAACTACTATGCAATCGAGTATATATGATTTTTAGGCACTGAATAAGAAAAGTATAGATGGCTCACAAATGAAGACGTAGCAACTGAAGGTAGCACACAAAAACCAAAAATAGAAAAAGAGATAAGAAAAAAGGCGAGAAAAAGTCAAACAAAGAAAAAGCCCACATAGGAATACCTCGCTAGCTTTAGGGACTCTCTGCCACAACAAACAACCTTCTTAAAAATCTAACACCCTGAGACATCAAACAAACCTCTCACGACACTAATGTATGGCATTCCTATTGTCCAATAGGTTTGCCCAATTTAGACTTCTAAATAAATGGACTTTTCACCGTTAAACCAAAACTCACAATCATTAACAGTTAATGCAAAGACATACATTTCTGAGGCCAATCACAGCATTTAAGCATAATTTTTAGTAGAAAAGAACAACTAAGTATTTAGCTAAATGATATAATAGAATGGACACAATTCTGCTACCTACTAATGATATAAACGTGTACCGGTACCATCGTTGTATCCTGACTTGCCATTTGCAACGGGCACTTTGAAAGACAGCTGCATTTTAGAGAATAAACACCCATAAGGCGTTACGAAACCAAGCTTAATCCAAAATCTTCATATTCCACTTCGAAGACTCCATTTTCAAAAATAAGAGAGTTTAACAAGTCAAATCAATCATTTGAAAAATCTCAAACAACTATTAATCAATGCAATATAATGGCACGTTCCAAATTATGTACTTGTAGGAATAATCCCAAATAAATATCAATTAATGCCCCAACTACCTAATGTGCAGAATAGCCCTGGAGCTGTGCTGTTGTTTGCGTTGGTCTACCTTCAAACATAACATAGTTGCATCACGAACCAAAGCAATTAAGCAAAAATCTTCATATTCCAAGTAGAATGACTCAATTCAATTTGGCCAACGCTTTATACATATTGTTTACCCCTGGACCTGTTGCACTTGCGCCTTCAGATCTTCGTGAACACAATACAATTGCGGAGAGGAGGCTGTCAACGGAATAAAAATTGTTAATTAAGTGAATCACCATACAACTAAACAAACGCGCTCTTCTTGATTAGCTATCAAAATAGTGGGGGTCGCTACAATCCATCGGTTGCTCCCTCTGCGCCTAAGTTGTAGATATTAGGTTTCAGTGAGAACTTTGAGTACATGAGGAGATATTTTGTAGTGGAGGAGATGACCCGGCGAGTAGAATAGGAAGATTTGGAGAGGCTGCGATGGGCAAAGCAGTTAAAATCGAGATTTTACCTAAAATCGAAAATTGGGGTAAAATCAAAATCGTATAATCGAATTGTAAAATCGTAGGATTTTAAGTACCATATAGAACATAGCATATAAGAATATTAATAAGGTAAATTATTAATATCACAAAGACACATAGCATTTAAAATGATAATTTAGAAGATTTTTTTCCATAAGATAATTCTCAAGATTAATGTTCCAAAATCACTATTTTAATTGTTATTTAATGTGTAACTCAAAATAATTCATGATGAAGGGATATAGTTCATGGGTTTGGCTCTTATTTTCATGTTATGTCTAGGTTGTTTAACTCAAAGTAATATTTCGACATCGTTTACTAAGTATGATTTAAAAATAAAAATAATTGAACTCCAATAAAATAAGTAATGTTAGTGGCTTGGTACAAATATATTCATTAATAAATTAATTAGTTAATAATGATGTTAGTTCTTAGTTCTTACATACTTCCAATATTAGGACAGGTGTTTTACCAATAAGTTAAATGGGGTGAAGGGAAAGAGATTAACCGAACCCTAATTTGGTTATTTTTATTATTTTTGAATATTTTTCTAATAGATAAATATCTGAGAAGATTCCGTTGCCCTTTCCGGTGAAACAGTTATACTTATTTTAAATTGGCTCAAACCACCTATTTTGTTCACTTACGATCAAAATCCCGATTTCGGTACTATTTTACGATTTTAACGATTTTAGTCCCGATTTTAAACGATTTTAAGGTCCACCGATTTTATAGTAAAATCAAGATCGGAATCCCTAAGTAAAATCCTACGATTTTACGATCAAAATCCCGAATTTGACTGCATTGGCGATGGGTGCACGATTAGTGGACCAAATAACAGTTTGGGCCCGTTTAAATGAAAACATATTTTTAGTTTCGTGCTCAACAGACCGACCGCACTGGCATCTTCTAAATTTACCCCTAAAAAATTGCTCTGTACGCATCAAATTTGAAATGGAATCCCTCTTTTCTCATTTCACATTTCACATTTATATGATGTGTAGATTGTGATGAGTGTAGATGTAGACCTGTCATTGTCCTACAAATTCATTAACACGCCAAAAAGTGGTGAAATGAGCCACCCTATTAAACACAATCTTGTATAATGATCATTGGATCCAATCATGCCAGATTATGAAGAAGTTTAAAATGTAGCGGTTATCCCGACTAAAACATTAAAAGAACCAGTCTCATATAGTTTGCACAAAGATATAATTTCTCCATAGTAATTCTGAAAAATAATATTAATTTAAGAAGTCGATATTGCTTCTACATGTTTAATATTGCAATTCGATATGCAATATTCGAACCAGTGATATTTGGGTTGCAATTTTAGGGTTATTGTATATTTATAAAATAGATAGACATTTAAATTAAGTATTAAACTACAACTAAAATAATCAAAGTATTAAAACACCAAATAAGTACTTACGGGAGATTCAGTGGCCAACTAATCGTTAAAAAAGTCATATGATTTTCATAATTTAGGTTCGTGTATGTTTGAATTTAAATAGATACAATAAATATACTTAGTGTGATTGGTTATGATCCTTGCTTGCCTTTAAAGAGACCAAGGTTCAAATCCCAATGCATGCCTTTTTTATGAATAAATAAATAAGAAAATAAGCAATTGTGAAGACCAAAATGTCCTTCCTATAATCACTCTCGTTGCAGGAAATTTGAAATGGAGCAACAGTTTTCATCATTCGGCTTTTATTTATTATCTAGATTTATTCAAGCGGGTCGGTCAGAATAGTGGTAACTGTTTTTTTTTTTTTTGATAGAATAGTGGTAACTGTTTTAAGAGGGGTTGACTCTGAAAGCGGCTCAGCCCTTCAAACCTCCTTCCCAGTTTCCTGCCTGCCTGACCACTCCGCTTTTCACTTCCATGACTCTTTCCAATATCCCATGATCTCCTTCACGTTATCGCTACATCGTAACTTCTTAAACTCAATAACGATCGCTTCTCTCAGTATTCCTTCAAGACACCCTTTTTAGGGTCCCCTTCCAATCCCTCAGCAGCTGCCCGCACAGTTCTCTTACCTTGCTGCGAATATGTGGAGGAATTTCGCCAGACGAGTTTCTTCCTCCAAAAGGGTCAAATTCCCTTCAAGCAGTGCTTCCCGGTGATCAGATATGCGACAGCCTCCGGTGGCGGCGACAATTTGAAAAGCAGTTCCCGAATTGCCAGGAAGTGGCATTTTGGAGCGGGAGAAGTGACGATTTAGGTGATCTTGATCAGGTGAGCTAACTCTAGTCTCTGTTTTATTCTCTAGATCGAGAAAAGATATGGAATCAAAGCTGCTGAATGTTGGTACCCATGAAGCGGGAAACGAGTTTGAGTCTTCACTAAGGCAAGCTTTCATGGAACTTGAACCCAGATTAAGGCCCCCATTTTCTATAGCAATCCCAACCCCGCAGGAGTATTCCCAACTCAATCATGCTCTTCTTTACGGGGTCCTAACTGAACCACAGTTTGCCAAGATTCATGTTAAGCATCTTCATGGCTTGGTCTCCGATGGGTATGCCCTTTTTGTTAGTTTGACTCTTAGGGTTGTGCTTGAGTTGTACAACAAGCTAGTTGATTCTGTGAAGCAGCAGTTGATTTGGGCTGTTAACGAAATCGTTGGTGTTTTCGGGGTTGGGTTTGATGGTTTGCTGTTGGGTTTGTTGAGGCACACTGTCGGCTGTGATTATACTGATAGGGGTTTATGGTTGTGTTTTGAGCTTATTAATCTGTTATTGACAAACTTCATCTCTTTACTGGAACAAGAGCCCTCTGTGTTGACAAGTGCATTGTATGTGTATCTTCGATTGTTGGCCGATCATTGTAGAGTATCAGGCAATGTCCGAGTGGACTTCTTGAAGAAATTGGAGATTGAGTTCTGTGTGAAGATGTTGAGGGAGCAGTTTCATTTGAGTATGAAGATTGGGAGGGACCTAGTTAGGCTGCTTCAGGATTTGGTTCATGTCCCAGAGTTTCGCAATATATGGAAGGATTTAGTTCTGGATCCAACTACATTTGGAACTGAGGGGTTTTCAGATGTTGGACAACTGTACTCTACTAGGACCTCAAGTAGGTACTTCTTGCTTCGAGTCACCCCAGAAATGGAGCTTCAATTGAGGTTCTTACTTGTTCATGTCAAGTTTAGGCATCTGAAGCGTTACCAAACGTGGTTTGCCAAGAAGTTCCTGTTTGAGCCGGAGAGGGAGACTCTTATAGTTGACATGATTCGTTTCATATGCTGTGCTCATCATCCATCTAACGAAATTATTCACTCTGATAGTGTACCTAGATGGGCAATTATAGGTTGGTTGCTAAGTAGTTTTAGAAAGAAGTATGTTGAAGCCAATGCAAAGTTGGCATTATTTTATGACTGGCTTTACTTTGATGAAAGAATGGACAACATAATGAATATTGAGCCGGCAATGCTTCTGATGGTGTGTTCCATGCCACAGTATGTCGGCATGACCCAATCCCTTCTGGAGTTTTTGTTGCTTCTTGTGGACAACTATGACCAGATGCATTCTTATACAGTTGCTAATGGTGTGTCGTTAGCCTTCAACAGTCTTGTCACTAAAGGGGTTATAAACAATGTGGATACTCTGACATCATGTGACGCCCTTTCGCCTTTTCTGAAAGAGAGACTGAAGAAGCTATTGTCAAGCACGAATGAGACACTCCCTCATCAGTTATGTCCAAGCCGCCTGCCTCACTGTTCTGCAGATGCTTCACATTTGGAGACTCCAGCTTCACACCCAAAACATGAACCTGCAGGTGCTTGACAACTAATATGTGTTGAAGACTTGCACAATTTCTCAAGAAACACAGGAAATGGTATTAGACGAGGCGTACAGAGTATTGTGGGAGTTTATGTGTCTGATTAAGAAGCAGGGAGGAGTGAAATGTCAAGTAGATGGTCTATTTAACATAGATAGTTTCGAGTTACATGTTGTATGAGTGCCTTGGGTTGCCTATCTGTCAAAAACTTACACATGTATATTTGTCTTATAAAATCAATCAATGGCAAAGGATGCTGTTTTATGGAATCAACAGAATGGGCAAAGGATGCTGCAGTTTTTCCAGTGCACTACCCTATCCCTCAATTGTAAGCATCAATGATGTTGAAAGATGAAAGCAGCTCACTCTGGATTCTGTGTCCTTTGCCAATGGTCTGAACCCCTTGGGTTTGTTACTCTTGGGTTAAATGTATCAGGGACTCAGAAGAACCATTACAATGGACAGAGCTTCTGGCGAGCTTGATCGATCAGTACAAGATTAGGTAGTGAAGCTGGAGCGAGTTTTGCTTCATAATGAAGGCAGTAAATGAGAATTCAGTCCTTTTTCCCAGTTTTTGGAACAGACACAATTATTAACATGAAATGGATCGATAACTCTGTTGCCTCTAAAGCAATTCACAAAGCAACACAGATGAATAAAAGATGGACAAATTATCACTCCGAAGACATATCGTTTGCTTGTTGTATTTGACAAACGATGGTTTTGATCATAACATGGATTTTAAAAAATTTGGGTTTTGTGATGGAATGGTCCATTATGGATTTGAAAATTTTTGTTGTTTGCTTGTTGAATTTGACGATAGATTTGGTTGAATTATATCGTGGATACATAACAGATTTTACACTATTTATGAATTTGGTCCAAATCTCAACTATAAACTAGATTTTTACAAATTCATGAGACGCAAGTATTTTCTAAAAATAGTCAAGCAAACCAAATTGGATGCAAACTGACAATTTTATTGAAATGCAAAAACAGAACCTTAAATACAAACTCAGTCTACTGAGAAAACTCTAAATCCGGCTCCACTAACTAATCATCTACCTTAGGGTGAAATGTTGAGGAATATCCTACAAATCTATGAGAAAGCGTGAGGGCAGCAAGTCAATTTGACTAAATTAGAACTGTCTTTCAGCACAAATGTTTCAGAAGCGAATTGAAAGGAAATTGCAGAGATCCTGGAAATGAAAAATGTCATGTATCATGACAAGTACTTGGGACTTCCTACAGTGATTGACAGAGCTAAAAAGGCTGTATTCTCTCAACTTATAGATAGAGTGCGAAACAAGATCAAACTGTGGAAAGAGAAACTTCTTTCAAATGCTGCTAAAAAAGTTCTTATTAAAGCAGTGATACAAGCTCAAACACTCTATGCTATGTCTGTTTTCCTAATCCCTCAAGGAGTAATTCAGGAGATTCAGAGTATGATAGCTAGCTTCTGGTGGGGAAAGAAAAGGGAAGAAAAGAGGATTCACTGGATGAGCTGAGAGAAACTATGTCGACCTAAATATGAGGGTGGTATGGGTTGTAGGAACCTCCACGGTTTCAACATTGCTTTGCTGGGACGGCATGTCTGGAATTTACTCCAACATCAATTTGAGGAAGGGTATTAATTATATGAGAACTTTATTATAATAGTCTTCGTGTAGGTTATGTAGCTAGGGTTTGATGTGACCAAACCTATATAAACTATTGTGCCTGTACCGAAGAAGTATATAAACTATAGTCAAACAACAATTTGTCTTTTCTTTTTCTTCTTCCTTACCTGGAGAATGAATGTCTTTAACGAAAACAAGAAAAACAAAACTGACCAATTCATAATCACCGACGGCCGCTTTTGGGGTTTTCCTTCTTAATATAATCACCACTTGAAAATGGGTTTAAAGGCATTACCAGAAATCCTTTGAATATATAATATACGGGTTAAAGACACATTTGGTCACTGAGATTACAAAATCGGGACATGTTTAGTCACTAGAAAAAGTTAATATCAAATTTGGTCACTACAATTACTAAAACTGGACGCATTTAGTCACTCGCCGTTAGTCTCCGTCCAACTCCGTTAATGAAGTCCGTTAAGTGCTGATGCGGCAAACAGATTTGCCTAATCAGCCGGATATAACCCAACAAAAATAAAACCCGACCCGCCACGTCATTATAACCCGCCACCTCATTAAAACCAACCCAACCCAACTCATGACCCAACCCTACCCAACTCTTCTTCCTCCTTCCTCCCCAACCCAATTTAGGGTTTTCCCCATCCCATCCAAATTTGCTGAGCGAGGAGAAGATCTCTCCGCCATTAATCTGCCGCCCTTCCTTCATCTTCTTGAAGCTTTGTCTTTTAGTCCAAGGGAGATAATGAGGCTCGACAAGGAAGTCAACAAGGTGACATCGGAGGCTCTTTTCCTCGTCTCGCGCTCCACGGAGCTTTTCCTTCAGTTTCACGCTGAGCCGAAGTCGCCACGGAGAAGAAGCGGAAGATTGTGAAGACTGAACACATCCGAATCTCCGTCAAGAGGCACCGACCGACCAACGATTTCCTCTTAGAATCGCTTCCCGCTCCTCCAGCTCCTCAGTTGCAGAAAGAGGATTCTGTAGGTCGTAAGCGCGAAGTTGCTAACAAGCAGCCACCGACTGGAACTCGCCGGACCGACGGTTTCTTTGCCAAATCAGCGAGCGGTGCTTCCGCTTGAGAATCGCCGGTAGATAGCTGATCCTTTCCTAGATCTCTATTGTTCTACTAATTAGGTTCTGTTTGGATTGTAAGGTGATTTTCCTTCGAATTCCATATTAGGTATTTGAAATTTCGAATGCTTGTTTGTTGAGAGTTGATATCGAAGAACAAAGCTGTAAACTCATTTGTTAGGTTTACCAGAACTGCAACTTGACATCTTCATTTTAAGAATACATCAATATCAAAGCAAAGTTTATTCGATCAAAGCATATATACAACGATGCTCATCAAACTAACTAAAAGGAGGTTAAATGTGCTGCAACTATAGCATAGACAATTTCTGCAAAAGTAATGGACAGATGAGGAAAAGATTAATGGCGGAGAGATC